TTTTTGGTAATTGAAGTCTTTAATTGTTGGGGGATAGATTTTATGGGTCCTTTTCCCCCATCATTTGGACATGAATATATCTTAGTGATGGTAAACTATGTCTCTAAATGGGTGGAGGCGATACCATGTCAAAACAATGATAGAAAAATAGTTTTGAAGTTTTTGAATAAAATATCTTTTCACAATTTGGTATCCCTCGTGCCATGATAAGTGATGGGGGTCACATTTTTGCACCCGACTTTTTGAAATGTTAATGCATAAAAATGGTTTTACCCATAAGGTTGCGACTTCCTACCACCCACAAACAAATGGGCAAGCCAAGCTTACCAATAGGGAAGTAAAGGATATTCTTAAGAAGAAGGTAAACCAAGAACAGAAGGATTAGTCTTTGAGGTTAACCGATGCTCTATGGGCTTATAGGAGTGCTTACAAGACTTCCCTTGGCATGCCTGCTTATAGATTAGTATATGGTAAAACTTGTCACTTGTTTGTAGAGTTAGAGCATAGAAATTTTTGGGCCATTAAGTCCTTTAATTTTAGCCTCGACAATGTGAGTTCAATAAGGAAATTGAAATTGAATGAACTTAAGGAGCTCAGGAATGAAGCATATGACAATTCTAGAATTAGTAAAGCGAAGATGAAAATTTTTCATAACAAGCATATCTTAAGAAAATCTTTTGGACCATCTAAAAAAGTCCTCCTTTATAATTCTAGATTGCATTTATTTCCCGAAAAATTAAGGTCAAGTTGGTTTGTCCTTTTATTGTGAAAGTAGTGTTTTCCTACGGGCTAGTCACCATAAGGTTTCAAGTTCAATCTTTTCTCACACCCCCTAAAGGCTAGTCACCCTTGTCCCTTTAGAGATATGCTTTGATCTAAAACAATCTCTACGTGTTTCATAGTCCTTCTAGGTCTTGCTATAAACTGGATGTCGTCATTGTAGGCCATGACAAATTCTTCTAATCTAAAGAAGTTCTAAGAACATCGTTCATCCGCCGCATAAAGGTTGCGCTCAAGCCATGGTGATTAGTCGTTGAGCTCAAAGAAGTAGTCGGCATAAGTCTGACACCCTATATCAAAAAAAATAATAATAATTAAATTAACACAAATTTGTCAACGAATAACCAAAAACATTACATAAACAAAAGTAAAATCACACCACACAAAAACCTCTCTGAATAATTGGTCCCAACATAGCCCCACAATCAGTCTAATGAACCCCACAAATGTAAACACGGTTAGAAAAAAAAAAAACATAACCGAATACCAAAGCAGGGTCATCCCAACGAGCTCGTCAATCTTGGTGCCTTCTCTCAATAACAAAGACATGTTTGTACCTTCAAGATGCACAGCCGAATTGAGCAATGGAGAAGCAACCAATCTTGGTGTCGCAAGAAAGAAATTTTGCAAGGAAATCGTATCCCTAGCTAAATGTTGTGTCTTTCTCTCTACCTTTTAGTCTCCATATGACTCAAATTTGAGTAAAGGTTTGGGTCAATATTGGAGATGGTCCAAGAGCATCTCCAACCATGACTCAAACTTAAATTCAAATTTAAGTAAAAAAGTTTTATTTGGTATAGAGCACTTCAATAGGCAAACTAACATATCTACTCAAATCTTTTTTAAAAAATCTCTTATTGTCATAAAACTCATTTTTTTATGTCATTTTCAAATCATGAAATCTGATAAAATAAAGATTGGGGTTATAAATATTCATTCTCACCTCATAAATGGGGTATATATAGCATAAGGTAGACTTAATTACTAGTGGAGTATGTATAGAAGGGGTGGGTTTAGTAGTTTGATAATAAGAAATTAAATGGGTTTGAAATGGATATTTTTGGGGTAGAAATAGCCTCACCTCACCTTAAAATAAAATGAAACTTTCATATCTTTCCAGAAATGGGTAATTTAAAAAATTTTGAATATAACACCGCCTAAGAATAAAAAACATAAAAAAAAAATTAAAAACCACCCAAAAATTCTTAGATTATTCTTATCCATTATCTTCTATAAATATAGATAAAGAAAAATAAAAAAGTTAGTTACTTTTTACATGTGTCTGGTTTGAAGAACACAAAAAAAGAATGTTTTCAATAAAAATGGATGATTGAACAAATAAAATGATGAATTTACTAAATTTTGTGGTTAGTGAAGACTTGAAATTTTAAGAAGAGACAGTGGCCTAAAATTTTGCCACCGATAGTGTTTAACTTGAAGAAACCAAAGAAAACTTTGATGAGTAAGCCTAGGGTTTATATAAAATGAAAGATGAATAGAATTTGGGTTTTAAAAAATACAAGAAATCAAGAAAATGAAATATCAAAAGGAAGGAGCTTACCTACAGGTCTTCAAAAAAAATTTTGAATGATTCGTTAGTGGTCGGTGATGGAAGTAACGTAGAAGAAGGAGGAAGAAAGAGGTGGATAATAAGTTGTTGAAGAAGTCTTTTAGGCCTTGGATAAGGTAAAAAATTAACATTGGAAATTTGGTTTTGAGTCTATTTCAATTTGGGTCCAAAATAAATTTTTTCTTCATTTGATATAGGCTTGGGTTCAAGGTTGGAGAAAGTTTTTAGACCCTAGACTCAAATTTAAATTAAAGTCGGGATTGAATATGCTCTAAGAGCATCTAGGATCCTTATCCTTTTTTGTATCTTTTTTAAACAAAGATTTAAAAAAAAAACTCTTAAAAATCTTCTTCAATGTTAGACTCGTACTCATATGAAAATGAAGGGAAACATTTTTTTAAACTCAAATCAAGGTAGACTCAAATTATTACATTTTTTCACCAATTGTGAGATTATACTCTCTTTTAAAGATCCAATGGTCATATTTACTCTCTTAAATTTAGGTTTGTGTTTATTTAAAAAATAGTTTCTCTTCTTTTAAATTTGAATTTCTCCATTAGAGAGGTCTATACCAAATTAAGTATTTTTTCTTTTACTCAAATTTAGATAAGGGTTTAGGTCTCCATTGCAGATGATCTAAGAACATCTTCAGCCTTTACCCTTTTTCGTACCCTTTTAAAAAATGGTAAAAATACTCTTAAAAATCTTTTTTAATGTTAAACTCATACCTGTACGAAATGAATGGAAACTTTTTTTAAACTCAAATCAAAGAAGACTCAAATCCTTACTCTTTTTACCAGTAACAAGATTATATTTTTCTTTAAAGATTTAATTGTCATATTTATCCTTTTTAAATTTGAATTTATCTTCATTTAAATTTGAGTTTTTTTATTAGAGAGATTTATACCAAATCTAGTTTTTTACCCCTTTTCTCAAATTTAAATAAAAATTTGGGTCCCTATAGGAGATAGTGTAAGAAATGCTTTTAGGCCCAAATCTTCTCACGTGCAAGTCACGCGAGAATTCATTTACAATAACACTAATGAGCAAAAAATAATAATAATAATGCTATTAAAACATAATTTGGATATATAATGACTTGTGACCGATAGGTGATGGTAAAACGTATTTAATATGAGACTCATTATAGCATTAAATATATTTTATTATCATTTTATTAGTCATAATAAATATATATATTTTTAATTTATATCCCTAAATTAAGTCTCAATAATAGTACTCTTTCAATGAAGACTAAATCAATGAAGTGCATCTCACGTGTTTTTACACAAGCAGGATAAATAAACGGAAGTTGGGTATTGAATATTTTTATTTTTTTGATGGTACAATTAAGGGAAAATGTCAATCACACATTTTTTTTGTTTATTATATCTTCAAAGACATTTTTTTTATTATAAAATCTATGACCGACACCCCTTTTAATTTATATTTAAAAATCATCAACACCCTCAGTTTTTAAACCATCATTTTTAACAAAAAAAAAACCATCTAAAATATCAAAAATACCCCTACATAAATCTCAAATAATTTTTCTATATAAAACTCGATTAAAATTCGAGCCGAATAAAATTTATTTTTTTACATATTAAAATTTGAGTTGATTAAAATTTATTTTTCTACATACTAAAATTTGAGTCAATTAAAATTTAATTTGAGTTGATTAAATTTTATTTTTTTTTACGTATTAAAATTCGAGTCTATTAAAATTATTTTTTCAAGTATTAAAATTCGAACCAATTTGAGTTCTACTTGAGCTATTAGCACTGATTAAAATTATCTTCGAGTCGATTAAAATTATATTTTTTTATTTATTAAAATTAATGTCATTAAAATTTCATTCAAGTTGATTAAAATTTATTACGTATCAAACTTCGGATCGATTAAAATTTAATGCGAGTTGATTAAAATTTAATTGCGAGTTGATTGAAATTTTAATACGTAAAAAATAAATTTTAATTAGATCGAATCGAATTTTAATCGACTTAAATTTTAATACATAAAAAATTTAAAAAATACAAGGGTCTCATTGAAGATATGCTATCTAGATAGGTGTGGATATAATTTTTTTTCAAATATATTATGGATAATTTAGTAAAATTACATTATAATTAATATCTCTAATATGATAGAGGGAGTTATTGAAGATTCAGAAAATAGGAGAAGTGTCTTTAAAGATATGGTAAATTAAAAGACACGTGGCCGAAATCTTTCGTACAATTAATAATTTTATTACTGATTTTTCACGGAGTAAGGTTTAATTAGCCCTATGATATTCATACAGGAAACTTACTCTTAGAGCCCTCAAACTATATCTACTTTTTCACATCACACTCTAAACTATTCTTTTAATTTTTATATTACCACAATCATTAACTTTTGCACAATTTTTCTGTAGTTGGGCAAAAGTCTACTTTTACCTTGATATGGCATGAAAAGTTAAGCAAAAGTCAATAATTGAGATAATGTAAAACTGAAATGAATAATTTAAGGTGTAATGTGAAAAAGAGAATAATTTAAAGGGCAATGTGAATGAATGGGTATAGTTCAGAGATCTAAGTGTAATTTTCTCAATTCATATGTTTCCATCGGAGGCTAACTTTGGCCCAGCTCATCACCGTAATGATAATGGATTACGTTGCGCGTGTATCGTGATATTTTCGTGTTCATGCTGAACTACTGACTATCCCATGGATGATTGAACTGATGGAAATCCTCAACTTAGACCAAGAGTCAGCTCCCCTGATCCGGCGTTTTATTTTTGTCGCTTTGGTGCTTCTGAGTACCAATCACTGAGCGTGTTCTTAACATTTTGGACTCGAACAATTAGCAGGAATGGAGTCACTTTCAGTGAAGCATCTGATTGCCACAGCTCATTACACATTTCCAATCAGATACCCAGTCAAACCAATTCATACAAGCAGGGTTTATACTCAAATTTGGCATTTTCGTTTCGTGCTCTATTCAAAACGGTCAGATTTTCAAGGTACAGAATCATTTGTTTAAAAACTTGGATGAGTTCAATTTAAAGAACCTCTTTTCGCTTATTATACTGCATAGCTGATTATATATAATACAGTGTCTTTACTTTTAAATGGATATAGGTAATCACTTAAGCTTGCACAAAAAATCCAGATGATGAATATTGTTTTATCAATATCCTCTTTGGGTCGTTTAGGAATTTAATCCCTTGTTTGGCTGCTCTAAGTAAATTATGTCGCTTTGGGTACAGCAGCTTATGCTTTTTCTGTTAGAAATCAAAGGATTTTATGTCCTTTACTTGTTTGAATGTGACGCTTATTCTCTTTTTTGTAATTATGTGGATGCTTCAGCAACATTGTTTCAAAACAACTATAGAAGACAGCTTGTCGTTTCTCAAATGCTTTAAACTGTACATATTCATCGCAATCTGATAATCAATAACAAATGGGTTGTGTATGGTTTTCTTTGGACTTGATGACTTTCAGATTTGAAAGTGTATGAGTGGGTTGGGTAAACAATTGAAATGTTGAGAGTGAATTTATCCGGGTTTTGATTTCACCAATTGGTGTTAACTATCGAGCAGACTTTGATTTAGTGGAACTTAATTATTTCAAGCTTGATTTTAGTAAGAGATGTTGTTGCCTGTCATATGTATTAGCTCATTTTTAGCAATTTAAAACTTGAAATTCAATGAAAGTTTGCAGGATAGTATTGGCCAACGAAAGGAAAATGTAAATTTGTACTAGTCAAAACATTCCTGAGTTCTAGTTTGATGCCATAATCATTGAATGCTTTTGTGTCTCCTATTAATAGTTCTCTAGAAATTTGGGGGACCTCTCTGCCAATAATTAGTACTATGAAGTATACTGACATATATTTCTGGTTGCTCATAGTCTGATAATCTATTCTTCCCATTAATCTACATGGTATTGATAATCTATTCTTCCCATTAATTTACTGGTAAAAATTAACACACAGTTTTAGTCCCCATTAATGGTGGGTCTGGGAGGGATAGATAGGGTGTAGACCTAGTTTTCGTATTATTTGCATGAAGTGACTGCCCTCAAATTTGAACCCACAACCTCAAGGTTTTTGGGCCAAATTTTTACCATTGAACTAGTTGCCGCCCATTATTTTCTATGGTGACAGACATATTGGCATTACAGTGATGATGCCATCTACATAAAGGTTTTTGAGTGCTGACCAATTGACTTTGCGGTAGATGTGAACATTACCAGAGTAGAGATAACGAAAGAAATGTGTTCTACATGTGTTTAAGAGGTTCAAATGGTCTACTTAGGTGCAGAAGAAGTGTTTTGTGGAATACAGGTTCCCAAAATTAAACGAAAATGGGAATATCAGTGTGGTATTATTTTTCGCTTGTATTCGTGCAGTTACCGATCAGCAGTTTGTTTAAGTATCACACATCATCACTAGTTCAACCATGTTTTTGAAAAATTATTCTCTTATATGAAAAGAAAGGAGTCCTAGATTACATTATTTCTAATTTGCAAGTTTTTAATGGCCATCACACATCATCATTTCTTTAACTTTTTTTTGGCAAACCAAATATAGGCTTCATCATCAGCCTTGGGTAGTTTCTAGACACAATCACCACAAAAAGAGAATTTTTTTTGAAGTTTGCCAAAATCTTGTTAGCCACCAATTAAATTGAACAAAAAAATCAGTTGTAGTCTTGTAGATGCAATACTAAGGACCATAGCACCATGGATTCAATATTATCTATTGCCTTGATGATTCTTCATCTGGGTTGGTGAACATGCTTATCAATCTATTGCCTTCAATGGTTTTAGCATATTGTGATTCGTGCATCATTTAGTCATCCAACCCTCATATGTCAATATTTTGTGCCAACAATCTAGCTGAGGAACTGTAGCAATCTGATTAATTTTGCTGTACCTAAAATCCAAAGCTTAGTCCGTTGACCGCATATCAAAGAAAAAAGCACCAGAAAACAGAATGAGTATGATGATGTATGTGTGTAGAGATCTGCATAATTTAAATATTCTTGCTGTCTCTTTTAGGTATATAATTGTTTTTGTTGCAATCTATTGAATAGATTCTAAAACATAACCTTTTCTTTTCGCATCCCTAGATATCAACTACACACTGTTCTAATCCTTAAAGTGTTCGATATCACAAAGTAAAAGAGACATTGCTTGGAATACTTAGTTGAGCCAAAAAGCCACCATACTTGATCTATAAATTAGTGGAGACACATGTCATATTTCCTATCTTGTGCTGAATATTGAGACTATTTGTGAATTTTCTGATTATCCCTCATCTCCAACAATGTTCCAATTTTCATTCTCAGATTTTCAGGGCTATGCAAAGCCATCACGTCTTTTGCCGCCCACAGACGTGAGAGTTTGCCCAGATTCATCGCTGGAGAAGGTAGTGGCATCTTTCAAATGTACTGGATCTGAGACTCTATACAAAGTCATGTTTAAAACAAGTAGCACCTATGGTTCAGGTCTTTCTGACACAAAGGCTGGTGTGCAACTTTGTTTAATAGATGAAAATGGTGACTCAATCTTACAGAGGATACCTGCTATATCCATGAAAGAAAATATTGTGTCAGACGACAAGGCTTTGTCTGAGGTACTCCATTTCCAAAGAGGTTCTGTTGATGATTTCACCTTCGAGGGACCTAAACTGGGTAAAATTGAAGCTCTTTGGGTGAGCCTTGAGTCAGGTCAGTCTCTTCCAGAAATTAGGAGTTCTATCCGAATGTACACACAATACAGACTACATAGTGTTTTCTCCAAGTACAATACAATATGGCTGATAACATTTTAAGACACCATGACCACCAAATACATATGTCAGAACCCAAATGCTTCTATACAAATTATTGCTAAGCTCTCGAAGTAACAACCAAAAAAAACCCCGCTGGAGTACACTAGTGGATATATGAAATTTTGAAATTGGGCAAGTAGGATTATTCTGAGATTTTAGATGGTAAGAACTATTTTGATCTTTTGTTTGCAAAATAAAAGCCATATTAAAGCCCTAGCAAGACTAAGAAGTAAGATTTGGGTTAAGTTTCGCTTTAATATTCATCCTGGAATTTTTCCGTGCTAATTGCTATAGCTTTATAATCCATTTGTAGCAAATATCTGAATTGATGATCCTTTATAACCCCACAAGTTGGATTGTAGATGATATGAACTCAACAACCAGTTCGTAATTCAACCACTTCTTTGATAATAAAGTCAATTTCAAACCCATATATATCAAAGAGTAACATAGGACCCTTATAAAAGTCATGTTTGTCTTTCGCATTTGGCGGTCTTTTTAATCCTGTGTCTTTTTAATCCTGTGCAGGTCAGTGGAGACTGGGCGATGTGAGCTTAACTGTAATTTCCAAGTGTCAACCTCTATCAGATGAAAATGACAAGAAAGGTGTTCAGTGTATTTGTTGTCAGTATGACTTTGAAATTGAAGATATGTTGCTTGGTGAGAAAAGTGACATTTCTATGGCGGAACTTAGACCTAGCCAGGTTTCCGAATTTTCTGGGGACAGCTTCGCCTTGTTGGGTAGAAAAACCTCACAACCGGGTTCATTTAGAAGCTACAACATATCAAATGAAGAAAGCATGAAGGAATATGTCGCTTTGAAATTCTCTTTGTTATTTTATGATGCAATTCTTATACTTTCTGGTTTACTGATTGCATCCTTGTTGGCTGGGGATAATGCGGCATTAGCATTCTTAACAGGGGGGGTCGGTGGCTTTCTGTATTTACTGTTGCTGCAAAGGTCTGTGGATGGATTGCCAGCTGCTGAATCCATTTCAAAGAATGGGACGGGGATCTTTGATCAAATTTTTGGAGTATTTAAGAGTCGACTGTCGGGCCTGGTAGTGTTATTTGCATTTGCAGCTATTTCAGTGAAATACTATGGGGGAGATAATGCCAAGATGTTGGCGCCAAAAGAGATCATGTTTGGGATGATGGGTTTTCTTATGTGCAAAGTCTCCGCTGTCCTGGCTGCATTCAAGCCCATGCCAATGGGGTTGAAAGATAACAAATAAGTATATATTCTTTTATGGAGAGAGAGAGAGAGAGATGGATTATGACCTGAATAAGAGATGTTATTACTTATAAATAAACATCCATATGTACTTTTCTATACTTAAAGAAGAAATTGCCTGTGAAGGATCTACTGCACCATCCTTTCCTCTGTCTTGCAAGTTACTAAACTTAACATTAAATTCAATGGGATTAGTGGATTTGGGTTTAGTCTTAACGGGTTAGTAGAAAATGGGTACATTCCTAAACCTATCAAATAAATGGATCGATATGAACTTTGCTAAACACGGTTTAATACGCGACATGAGCTTGCTTATATACGATTACAAATGCGTTGGGTATATGTTGAGTAAATTTTGCTTAAGATACAACATACACGGTTTGGCAACGCGACAAAGTATGACCATGGACACTGTTTATTTCATGTGATAAGATACAACATTTGAGTGTTATGTTTCATACAATAGAAGATCTAGTTGTTATTTAACTAAACCTCGCGAGAAATTTCTAACAAATGGCTCACTTGCCGGCTGAATTATGTCATAATATTATGAAGGAATGAAATCTCCAGATTAGCCAATTTGTGTGACAGCTTTCTTTTTTGTTTTACCTGTCATATTTCCTTTCTTTCACTATGTTTGGCAAAAACTATCAAGAAGATTTAAGGTCTTCTCTGATCAAATCAACATCAGATTGGGTTTCACCTCAAGTGCATTTAGAAGTCTATCTCAGCTCTGACATACGTTGCACGTCGATTTGGACTTCAAGTTAAGTTGCCGAGTCGGGATGTGGATCCTCTCATTATCACAATTTCTTTATTTCGATCAAATCCAATAATTCATTATTGTATTCATTGTGTCCTTTTGGTAAGTTTTTGTAGGTAAGTTTTACTAACATGCCGTGTTATTCGATAACTTCAATGATAAAATCTGAAATTTTGGAGGATCCAAATCCGTCCACTCGAGAGCATTCATGGGGATTCCTTTCATACTTGGAAATTCTAAAGGATTAATCTCAACTTGCACCATAAAAATCATTCGAATTTTAATTTTTATCTTTAAAATTTAAAAATATCAATTTATACCCTAAAAGATAAATTTGTATAAATGTGTACCGAGAGCTAACTACCATCCATTTTGCCGAAAAAAATGTTTGGAAAAGTTACAAATTGCACCTTCAAAGTTTAAATATTTCACATTTATGATTAAAAAAAAAGTTCATTCATTAATACTAGTTAAATATCTTTCAATTGTGTCGTATCATGTTATTTTGTGTAATGTCGTATCATTTTCATGTTGTATTCGAGTCAATAAAAAAAAAATTTAACATGATATTTGTGTCGAGTCAACTGTATTGTGTCGTATATTTCACATTTATAACAATTTATATAATACTATTTAATATTTTTTTAAAATTATAAAAATACATATTTTTTTTCCTACAATACTCATTAAATAACTATTTTTTGTCTACAATTGTATTATTCATATTTAACTTTAATTTAATCGAACAGTTAAAATTCATATCTAACTTTAGACAGAAAATAACTATTTAACAAACAAAAAATATATATTTTATAATTTTGTTTAAATTTTAAAAATATTTTTTTATTGACTTGAACATGACACGAAAATATTATGAGATAATACAATTGAGGGTTATTAAATAACCATTAATAGAAGAAATTCTTTTTGAATCATAAATATGAAAGAGAATACTATGTATCCAAATTTGTATCTCAAATTAATGGAGATCATTGATTGAGTGGGTTACATCAACTTTTTTAAATGAGAACCATTGATCCAATTGTCCTTATTGATTTGAGATGCAAATTTGAGTTGTAAATTCGGGTTATATAGCATTGCTCAATATGAAATATTTTAACTTAAGAGTGCAATTTATAATTAGTTCATATTTTTTTAACGGAAAAATAGATAGCAGTTAATCTCAGATACACAATGATACGAATTTATGTCCTTTATTATATAAATTAATATTTTTAAGGGTACAAATTCAAATTCAAATTCAAGTGATTTTTAAAGGTTCAAGTTGAGATTAACCGAATTCTTAAATTTGGCTCCTTGTCAAAGAACTTTTGCCTTGGGCTTCCCTCGTTAATTTCAAGGAGGGTGGCAGATGAAAGAGAGGGAATACCGTGCCGAAATGATTTATTGGGGTTCCAACAAATGTCGTGGATATGATCATAGCAACTCTCAGCAGTTAAGGATGTCCTGTTGAGGAGAAAATATCCATTACAACGGTAATAATGAATAGTAATGTGATGTAATATTATTTAATCAATAATATTAAAATAACTAAGCAAATGAATCCAACAAAAATTAATAATTAACTTGTCATTTAAATAAATAACTCATCATTCTTTTTTCATGTAAATCTAAGTGGGGTTCATCTTGCCTACTTGAGATTTTATTATTGGTTTATGATACCATATCATGGGAAGGATTTGAAAAAAAAAAACCAGATTCAGGTACCGGTACCTAAGTGATTAAGTACTGGTACCACACTGTGGGAAGGCCTAGGTACCGGTACTTCGACATACGAATATTAGTATCTAGATTTCATTGGGCTCAGGTACCAATACCAAGGTTTCAAGTACCGATACCTACATAGGCAGTGAGCTTAGATACCGATATTACAACATGTAGGTACTGATACCTAGTAAATAGTGAGCTCAGGTACCAGTACCCTATCACCTAGGTACCAGTACTTGACAACTGGAAGAAACCTAAAAAATAAAGGTCTAGATTTCGATACCCTATTACTCAAGTACGGTACCTAGCAGACATAAGGCTCAAATACCGGTACCAAGTGCAAGAGGTACCGGTATCTCTTTTAAACTTTTCAGAAATTTAAATATAACTCGTCAAACCTTCGGGCCTTGAGCCTTCTTACTTAAAGGATGTAATTGGTTCAATATTAAGTACAAATTAATGGAGGTTGGACCTTGGAATGGTCAAGTGTTTAGTGTGTGTACAAGTTATTAGATTGGGAGTGCTCCGGTACAAGAGAGATTTTGTCCAAACCATGTATTTGTTACGATCCCGGTAAAGGGGATGCAATGACGTGGTGCCGAGTTATGCGGCATCCGTGGATATTTCGGCAAGTTGATGAGTGATCAACGGGTTGAGAAAACAATCCTGAATTTTGGGATGTCACAGTTTTTAGCCATTTATTTTTGTCTCACATTTTTAATTATTGGTCATATTAGGCTCTTTTCACACAATTGGCTTTTGACATCTTTTAAGGGATTGAGATTTAAGTAACATTTAGTCATGTGTTCACCTATCACCAACACTTAGAATCACTTAAGATCATTAATAGGTCAAACTAATATGACTCTTAAGGATGAAGGTGAATGGCTGGCGTGTAGTTAGTTTTGAATTTTTCAAAGTTAAATACTATTCAAACACGTTAGAATGAAAGAGATTTTGACTAATGAATCATGCACTAAGATTTATGCCACTAAGTTCTCAATCTCCTTATATAACACATAACAATGCACATTTCAACTTTGATTTTAAAATGAAATCGTTGTAATACAAATCAAATGGTGAATTACCATGATCATGAACAAAAAAATAAACAAAAGAAATTTGTATTGGCTTTTTCTTTTCCAATGTTTTTGAAATTTTCAATTGAACATATGCAGGAAAAATATGCATAAACACACTAAAACAGAGGAAGGCTCCTAAAGCAATTAACATAAATTCTAAAAATGAATGTCAAACTTGATATCAAAACTCTTTTTGAATTTTTGAATTTCTTTTGTTTTTGGTTTTTCAATTTTCTATTATTTTTGCACTTTTCATATAGAAAATAAATCAAAATAAATATATATATATATATATACATACAATGTATGACCCTATGATATTTGTTGCTATGCATTAATGAGCACCTAGGTCCATACTTTCACCTCTCCTATTTTGTAGGAACCATGATCTTGTTAGAACCACTTGGGGCCTCCAACTTGGTTGAGATTGTGAGTTTCTCTAGATCCTCCATGATTCACTTCAGAAGTTATAAACCCAAGTACAAGTTGTTAAACAAGTAGTAATTCTTGGTAGAGTTCAAGCTCGATCCACAAGGAGATTGGAATTTTGAAGTGTGAAAAGGATTAATAAAAGAAAATGAATTGTGTGTTTGAGAGAGAGTAATTTCATAATTTAACTTTGAAACAAATAAACTAAAATTGTTTAAGAAAAGTAATTTGGGGAAAATACTAAGGCATTGAGTACTATTTTAATAACACCTGGGTAGTAAATTAATCCTAATTTCCAATATCAATTGGGTAACAACTAGAGAGTGAACCCAATTGGAAGATTCAACAATAATTAATTAGGAAATTCTCTAAAGTATAATCATTGAGTTAATCTAAATGAATCCAAACATTCAATTATTAATTACAAGCATTCAACTTGCTCAGAGTCGACGATAAATCAAGCAATTAACCAATCAAAATCCAAATTAATAAAAATCATCAAATCAATTAATTAGATGAAAACTCTAACAATTCAACCCAAGCATGTAAATCTAGCTATTCAACTCATAAGGAATCTCAAGCATCCATCACAATTAGCATAATAATTCAAGAGATTATATAGAGAGAAAGATTTTCTAAAATAAGACGAATTGAATTATTAAAGAAATCATCAAATGAAGAACATAGGATTAATTTACATACCCCAAATGAAATCCCTAGCCTTAATATGAAAGATTAGCCAGCCATAGAAAATGTGCTAATCACAAAATTAAAGAAGAAAATTAATGGAAAAATTTCCAGATCTAGTAAAGCTCTAAAAACTCTCTAAAAAGTACCGAGTACTTTTTTCCAAAGGGGGAAGATGAAGTTAATCTTGCATCATTGGGCTTTCTGATTTGTTGGGAGCAAAGACACGTGTCTGGACGTGGATTAAATGGCGTTCGGACGTGACAGGCAGTTCAACATGTGTCCGGACATGGCCTTCTGGGAACTTTTGCCTGTTTTTGCCTCTGAAGCAACACCTCACGTCTGGGCATAGATAAATTTCGTCCAGACATAGACTTTTGAACTTTAATCTTAAATTTTCTCTTTTTCTTTGTGTAGTTCACTCCTATGTTTGCCTCCTAATCTTGTCATTTCACCTACAAAATTGACAAATACCAATTAAATCAT